TGACAGTGGTGAGCTGCCTTCTTGAACCACCGCAGTCCACCAGCTGTAGCTTGGCCCACATTGCCGTTAGCAAAGGAATTCCAGGATTTTGACCCAGTAATAGTGAAGGAATGCCGATATATTTTCAAGTCAGGATGGTGAGTGGATTAGAGGGGAACCTGAAGGTAGTAGTGTTCCCATATGTCTGCTGCCCTCGTCTTTCTAGAAGGGAATGGCCGTGGGTTTGGAAGGTGCTGTCCAAGGGTCTTTGGTGAATTTCTGCAGTGCGTCTTGTAGATAGTACACACTGCTGCTACTGAGCGTCGGTGGTGGAGGGAGTGGATGCTTGTGCATGTAGTGCCAATCAAGTGAGCTGCTTTGTCCTGGATGGTGTCAAGCTTCTTGCGTGTTGTTGGGGCTGCACTCATTCAGGCAAGTGGGGAGTATTCCATCACACTCCTGACTTGTGCCTTGTAGATGGTGGACAGTTACTCACCGAGGTATTCCTAGCTTCTAGCCTGCTCATGTAGCCAGTGTTTATGTGGTGAGTTCAGTTGACCTTCTGGTCAATTATAACGCCCAGAGTGTTGATAGCGGGGTTTCAGTGATGGTAACACCATTGAATGTCAAGGGGCAGTGATCAGATTGTCTCTTACTGGTGATGGTCATAGCCTGGCATTTGTATGGCATAAATATCACTTGCCACTTGTCAGCCCAAGCCTGGATATTGTCCAGATCTTGTTGCATTTGAGCATGGATTGCTTCAGTATCTGAGGAGTCACGAATGGTACTCAACATTGCCCAATCATCAGAGAACATTCCCACTTCTAACCTCATGAAGAAGGGAAGATCAGCTGCTTCATCAATGAAGATGGTTGGGCCGAGGTCACTACTCTGAGGAACTCCTGCAGACATGTCCTGGAGCTGAGATGATTGACCTCCAACAACCCCAACCATTCTCCTGTGTGTCAGGTATGACTTCAACCTCCGGAGAATTTGCCCCCTGATACTCATTGATTCCAGTTTTGCTAGGGCTCTGTGATGTCACACTCCGTCAAATGCAGCCTTGATGTCAAGGGATGTCACTCTCACCTCAACTCTGGAATACAGCTCTTTTGTTCACATTTGAACCAAGGCTGTAATGAAGTCAGGAGCTGAGAATAACTGAGCAGGTTATTGCTGAACAGGTGCTGCTTGATAGCACTGTTGATGACACCTTCCATCATTTTACTGATGATCGAGAGCAGACTGATGGGGTGGTAATTGGTCGGGTTGGATTTGTCCTGCTTTTTATGTACAGGACATACTTGGGCAATTTTCCACATCATCAGATGGATGCCAGTGTTGTAACTGTACTGGAATAGCTTGCCTAGGGAAGCAACAAGTTTTGGAGCATACATCATCATCAGTACTATTGCTGGAATGTTGTCAGGGCCCGTAGTCTTTGCAGTATCCAGTGTCCCCAACTATTCCCTGATATCACATGGGGTGAATTGAATTGGCTGAAGCCTGGTATCTGTAATGCTGGGGACCACTGGAGGAGGCTGAGAGGGATCATCCACTTGGCACTTCTGGCTGAAGATTGCTGTGAATGCTTCAGCCTTATCTTTTGCACTGATGTGCTGGACTCTTCCATCATTGAGGATGGGGATATTTATGGAGCCTTCTGCTCCAGTGAGTTGTTTGTTTAATTGTCCACCACCATTCACAATTGGATGTGGCAGGACTGCCGAGCTTAGATATAATCCGTTGGTTGTGGGATCGCTTAGCTCTGTCTATCACTTGCTGCTTTGGTGTGTAAGTAGTCTTATTTAGTGGCTTCAATAGGTTGATACCTCATCTTCAAGTATGCTTGATGCTGCTGCTGGCAATCCCCTCTGCACTCTCCATTGAACCAGGGTTGATCCCCCAGCTAGATGGCAATAGTCGAGTGGGGGGATATGCCAGGCCATGAGGTTACAGATTGTGCTTAACTACAGTTCTCCTGTTGATGATGGCCCACAGCACTTCATGGATGCTCAGTCAAGTGCCTAGATCTGTGCGAAGTCTGTCCCATTTAGCACGGGGTTAGTGCCACACAACAGGATGGAGGTTATTCTCAATGTGAAGGTGGGACTTCGTCTCCACAAGGACTGTGCGATAGTCACTCCTACTGATACTGTCATGGACAGATGCAACTTCAGTTGGCAGATTAGTAAGGATGAGGTCAAGTATGCTTTTTCCCTCTTGTTGGTTACCTCACCACCTGCCACAGACCCAGTCTTCAGCTGTGTCATTTAGGAGCCGACCAGCTCGATCTGTAGTACTGCTGCTGAGCCACTCTTGGTGGTAGACATTGAAATCCCCCACCCAGAGTACATTTTGTGCTCTTGCCCTCCTCAGTGCTTCTTCCACATGGAGGAGTACCAATTCGTCAGCTGGCAGAGGACAGTATGTGGTAACCAGCAGGAGGTTTTCTTGTCCACGTTTAACCTGAAGCCATGAGTCTTCACGGGGTCCAGAGTCAATGTTGTGGACTCCTAAACCAACAACCTCCTGACTGTATACCACTGTGCCACCACCTTTGCTGGGTCTGTCCTGCCCCTGGGACAGGACATCAGGGATGGTGATGGTGGTGTCTGCGACATTGTGAGGTATGATTCTGTGACCATGACTATGTCAGGCTGTTGCTTAACTCATCTGTAAGACAGCTCTCCCAATTTTGGCACTAGATCCCAGATGTCAATGAGGAAGACTTTGCAGGATCGACAGGGCTGTTTCTGCTGTTGTCTTCTCCAGTGCCTAGGTCGATGCCAGGTGATTCATCCAGTTTCATTTCTTTGAGACTTTGTCATGATTGGTACAACCGAGTGGCCTGCTCGGCCATTTCAGAGGGCAGTTGAGAGTCGACCACATTGCTGTGGGTCTGGAGTCACACGTAGGCCAGGCCAAGTGAAGGTGGCAGAATTCCTTCCCTGAAGGACATTAGCGAACCAGATGGGTTTTTCCAACAATTCGAAATCATTTCATGGTGATCAACAGATTCTTAATTCCAGGCTTTTTGAAAAAAAGCTTGAATTCAAATTCCACCATCTGCTGTGGTGGGATTCGAACCTGGGTCCCAAGAACATTAGCTGGGTTTGTGGATTAATAGTCTAGCGAGAATACCACTAGGCCATTGCCTAACGCCAATTTTGATGGTATTGTCCCAATTTTGAACTTTAACTTGTGGATAAGACATATCCTTTTCCATATTTTAAAATTAAAAGAATTATAGTTACTGGTCCCAAAGTACTCCCCTTCTAACACCTCAGTCACTTGTCCTGTCTTATTTCCCAAGAGCTCAGGTTTTGCCCCTTTTCTTGCAGGCCATCTACATGCTAAGAATTTTTTCATCAACACAAATTCCTCCCCAACCAAGTCCTTAATACTGTGACAGTCTATGTATAAGTTACATTAACTCAGTCTCTGTAAATAAGTAATAGAACCTAAATCAGCTTCCCAAAGTCAATGAATTACTCACATTGGAAGTAAGGAAAGGCTTCCTGCCACTAAGAAAACAAAAGATTTCTCGAAGATACCACAAAATGTTGTAAAACTCAGCTTCATCTTCAACTCCAATATGTTGCATGCATGATATGAGGATGTAGTTATTTTTCAGAAGTCATCTTAATTATGTATAGTTTTCATTACTGTCACATTTTCTTGTGACTTTTACTGTTTTATGTTTACTGTGGCCAATTTCCAAATGTTTCCTGAACTTCGAACTGAAATATACTTGAACCTTGATTCTGCAGATTTGTATCTTGAGTTGTGGATGCTGTGGTAGGTTCGCTTGCCGAGCTGGCTCGTTAGTTCGCAGACATTTCATTACCCTACTGGGTAACATGATCAGTGCAGCCTCCGATGAAGCGCTGTTGTGTTTTCCCGCCTGGTATTTGAACTCTGGGGTCGGTTGGAATTGGTTACCTCATTTCCGACTTTTCTTCACAGTGTTGTACATATAGGATGTAATTCTACGTGTTCGTTGATAGCCTACTCGGGGAATTTCTGACGAAGGTATACGGAAAGGCCACACACATGGATCAAGTCCTGAATTTCAACAGCAACCACCCCAACACCCGCAAACGAAGTGCTTAAAAACACTATTTAAACGAGCGACAACACACTGCAGCAACCCGGGACTGTGCCAAAACCAACAAGAATACCTCTACCAAGCATTGAAGGATAACAGATACCTGAACAGCTGGGTCCGACAATGCCTATCACACAAACAATAACAGGAAGATACAGAATGCCCTGACATACTCATCAAGTTACCATACATCAAGAACATATCCAAACTGACCACAAGATTCCTACAACCATTGGGCATCAGAGTGGCACACAAATCTACATCAACCCTACGCCAACTGCTAACTCGAACCAAAGACTCCTTACCCATTACGAACAGAACCAACGTAATAGACAAGATCCCATACAAAGACTGCAACAAACATTACATTGGACAGACAGGAAGGAAACTGGCGACAAGAATACATGAACACCAACTAGCAACAAAAAGACATGACCAGTACACACTCGCCTCCATTCACACGAATAAGGAGAACCGCCTGTTCGATTGGGACATCGGGATCCGAGGACAGGCCAAACAGAGGCAAGTATGGGAATTTCTAGGGGCTTGGTTCTCCAAGAATGAAATGTAATGAAACGTCTGCGAACTCACGACAGCATATGCAGAACCAATTACTGGAGGAAAAAATGAACAACGGTGTTGCTAGATTTGTAGTCCTACATTTTCACAGGTGCACAAATGCTGGATTATTCACTCAGTGACATAAGGGTGACAGGTTAAAAAAAACACATGAAGATTTCACTCTTTGACAATGTGAATGGGTGGCAAAAGTGCATGCAGGGCTGGTTGAACTGGGCCACCAGCTGGCTGCAAAGTGCCAGGCTGGGATGTCTGCAGCGGGGCCTCAACTAGATTGGTAACACTCTTTTCCTCCAGCAGTTACTTTGAATCCAGTTTACTCTCTTACCGGATGACACGGAGCGGGTCGCCATGCTTGTGGTAAACCAGAGCTTCGCAATGTCCCCGAGCCACTGCCGAGCTGGTCAAAACCCGGCCCATTACACGACACAGAGGACCCCAGCGGCCGGGTCCCCTCCGGCACAGCACCCGGACACAGAACCAACTCAAGGCCATAGCTCCGTTACTCAGGCAACGGCCGTGGCCGCCTTCTGATGACGACAGCGGCATTGCCGGCGCGCGGCAATGACGTTATAAAAACCGTTTGAAAAAAGGAAGACAAATTTAATTCAAAAAATATAACTATCCAGTGTTTGGTGCATGGTCAGTTTTTCAGAGCCAATATCTTTCTAAAATATGGTCGGGAGCTAAAGGGTCTGCAGGGCAAACGAGCTCGAGAGGAGAAGAAAAACAGAAGTTGCTAGTAAAGCTCAGCAGGTCTGGCAGCATCTGTGAAGAAAAAAAATCAGAGATAACGTTTCGGGTCCGGTGACTCTTTGAAGAATAGCTGGTTAGTTTATTAGGTAACAACAGATATTGTTGAACAAATTCAGCAGATCTGACAGCATAGAGTCCTACAGCACGGAAACAGACTATTTGGTCCAACCGGTCCATGCCGAACATAATCCCAAAGTAAATTAGTCCAACCTGCCTGCATTTGGCCCATATCCCTCCAAACCCTTCCTTTTCATGCACTTATCCAAGTGTCTTTTTAAGCGTTGTAATTGTACCCACATGCACCACATCCTCAGGAAGTTCATTCCATACTTGATATATCCTCTAGGTAAAAAAATTCCTTCACATCTTTTTTAAATCTCTCTCCTTTCATCTTAAAAAACATGTCCCCGACTGTGGAAATACCCCATCATAGGAAAAAGACAACTACCATTAACTCTGTCTATATATATATATATCATAGTTTTATAAACTTCTATAAGATCACCTCTTAACTTCCCACACCTCAGTGAAAAAAGTCCCAACCTATCCAGCCTTTCTTTACAACTCAAACCTTCCATACCCAGTAAATCTCTTCTGAACCCTCTCCAGCTTGATAATGTCCTTCCTATAACTGAGTGACCAGAACTGGGCATAATATTCCAGAAGAGGCCTCACCAATGTCCTGTACAACCTCAACATGACTTCGCAAATCCTGTATTCAAAAGGACTGAGCAATGAAGCAAAGTGTGCCAAATGCCTTTTTAATCACCCTGTCGACGCAAACTTGAAAGAATTATGTACCTGAATCCCCAAGTGTCTCTGTTCTACAACACTGTCCAAGGCCCAACCATTGGGTATAAGCCATACCCTTGTTTGTTGTACCAAACTACAATACCTCACGTTTATCCAGATTGAATTCCATCTGCCATTTTTCAGCCCATTGACCCATTTCATCATGATATGTATGTAATTTTTGAAAATCTTCTTCACTGTCTATTCTGCCACCAATTTTGGCGTCATCTGCAAACTTACTAACCATTCCTTCTATATTCTCACCCAAATCATTTATATAAACAACAAACAAAAGAGAACCCAGAACCGATCCCTGTGGAACACAGCTGGTCACAAGTCTCCAGTCCAAAAAGCAACCCTCCACAATTACTCTCTGTCTCCTGCCATTAAGCCAATTATCTACCCAATTGGCAAGTTCACCCTGAATCCCATGTGACCTATATTTAAGAATTAGTCTACGATGCAGAACCTTGTCAAAAACTTAACTAAAATCCAAATATACAATGTCTACTGCTCTGCCATCATCAATTTTTTTGGTAACTTCCTCAAAAAACTCAATCAAGTTTGTGAGATACAGTTTTCCTTGCACAAAACTATACTGAGTATCCCTAAACAATTTTTGCCTCTCTAAATATCCATAACTCCTATCTTTTATAATCACCTCCAACAATTTACCCACAACCAAAGTCAGACTCACATATCTATAGTTTCGCAGTTTCTCCTTACAACCTCTCTTAAACAAAGGTGCAACGTTAGGCACCCTCCAGTCATCAGGCACCTCACGTAGTTACAGATGATGCAAATATTCCTGCAAGGGGTGTCGTAATTTCCTCCCTTCCCACAATATTCTGGGATACATTGAATCTGGCCCTGGAGGTTTATCCACTTTTGTATTCCCGAACTTCCTCTTCTGTAATGTGAACTTTTTTTTAAAAGACATTAAAGTTTATTTCTCCGCATTCTCTAGACTCTATTTCTTTCCCCAGAGTAAAAACTGACACAAAATATTCTTTTGGTATCTCTTCTATCTCCTGGGGTTCAACACAAAGATGGTCTCCATGACCTTTAGGAGACCCTACCCTCTCTCTAGCTTCCCTCTTGCTTTTAATATATTTGTAGAATCTCTTTGGACTACCTGTAACCTTATCTGCCAATGCTATCTTATATTCCCTCTTTGCCTTCCTGATTTCTCTCTTAAGGATGCCCCAAGACTTTTTATACTAATTAAGAGATTCAATTGAACCAAGTGGTCTATATCTGAAATAAGATTCTCTTTTATTCTTGACAAGAAACTCAATATCTTTATTCGTCCATTGTTCCTTCATCTTACCAGTCTTATCCTTCACTCTAACAGGAACGAAATGCCTCTGAACACTCGTCATCACACACTTGAATGCCTCCCACTTGTCAGATGTCCTTTCTTTTTATTCATTTGTGGGATGTGGCCATCACTGGCTGGCCAGCATTTATTGCCCATCCCTAATTGTCCTTGAGAAGGTGAGGGCTGCGGACCACCTGCTGTGGGTTGACCCAAAATGCTATTAGGGAGGGAATGCCAGCATTTTGACCCAGCGACAATGAAGGAACAGCAATTTATTTCCAAGTCAGGATGGTGAGTGGCTTGGAGGGGAACTTGAAGGTGGTGATGTTCCCACATATCTGCTGCCCTTGTCCTTCTAGATAGAAGTGATCATGGGTTTGGAAGGTGCAGTCTGAGGATCATTGGTGAATTTCTACAACGTATCTTGTAGATAGTACACACTGCTGCTACTGAAGGTCGGTGGTGAAGGGAGTGGATGCTTGACGATGTAGTGCCAATCAAGGGGGCTGCTTTGTCCTGGATGGTGTCAAGCTTCCTGAGTGTTGTTGGGGCTGCACTCATCCAGGCAAGTGGAGAGTATTCCATCACACTGCTGACTCGTGTTTTGTAGATGGTGGACAGGCTTTGAGGAGTCAGGAGGTGCGTTACCCGCCGCAGTATTCCTAGTTTCTGACCTGTTGTAGCCACTGTGTTTATATGGTAAATCCAGTTCAGCTTTTGTTCAAGGGAAATCCCCAGGATATTGATATTGGGGATTCAGTGATGGTAACACCGTTGAATGCCAAGGGATGGTTGTTAGATTGTCCAGATCTTGTTGCATATAAACATGGACTGCTTCAGTGTCTGAGGTGTTGCGAATGGTGCTGAACATTTTGCAATCATTGGTAAACATCCCTACTTCTGACCGTATGATGGAGGGAAGATGAAGCAGCTGAGATGATTGGGCCGAGGACACTACCCTGAGGAACTCCTGCAGAGATATCCTGGAGCTGAGATGACTAACCTACAACATCCACGACCATCTTCCTATATGTCAGATATCACTTGAACTACTGGAGAGTTTGCCCCCTGATCCCCTTTGATTCCAGTTTTGCTAGGGCTCCTTGATGCCACATCTGGTCAAATGCAGCCTTGATATCAAGGGCTGTCACTCTCACCTCACCTCTGGAATTCAGCTCTTCTGTCCATTTTGAACCAAGGCTGTAATGAGGTCAGGAGCTGAGCGGTTCTGGTGGAACCCAAAATGGGTGTCACTGAGCAGGTTATTGCTGAGCAGGTGCTATTTGGTAGCACTGTTGATGACACCTTCCATCATTTTACTGATGATCGAGAGTAGACTGATGGGGTGGTAATTGGCTGGGTTGGATTTATCCTGATTTTTATGTACAGGAAATGCTTGGGCAATTTTCCATATTGTCTGCTAGATACCAGTGTTGTAACTGAACTGGAACAGCTTGGCTAGGGGAGTGGGCAAGTTCTGGAGCACGAGTCTTCAGTACTATTGCTGGAATGTTCTCAATCAAATTGGCTGAAGCCTGGTATCTGTAATGCTGGGGACCACTGGAGGAGGCTGAGATGGATCATCCACTTGGCACTTCTGGCTGAAGATTGCTGTGAATGCTTCAGCCTTATCTTTTGCACTGACATGCTGGGCTCTTCCATCACTGAAGATATCAGATTGGAACCTCCTCCTCCAGTGATTTGTTTAATTGTCCACCACCATTCACAATTGGATGTGGCAGGACTGCAGAGCTTAGATCTAATCCGTTGGTTGTAGGATCGCTTAGATCCTTGCTGCTTTTGCTGTTTGGCATGCAAGTAGCCCTTCACCAGGTTGACACCTCATCTTCAGGTATGCATGGTGCTGCACCTGGCATACCCTCCTGCACTCTCCATTGAGCCACTGTTGATCCCCCTGGCTTGATGGTAATGGTTGAGCAGGGATATGCTGGGCCGTGAGGTTATAGATTCTGCTGGACAACAGTTCTTCTGCTGTTGATTGGTCACAGCGCCTCATGGATGCCCAGTCTTGAGTTGCTAGATCTGTGCGAGTTCTGTCTCATTTAGCACGGTGATAGTGCCATACAACACGGTGGAGGTTATTCTCAATATGAAGATGGGACTTCATCTCCACAAGGACTGTGCAGTGGTCACTCTTACCGATACTGTCATGGACAGATGCAACTGCAACTGGCAAATTGGTAAGGATGAGGTCAAGTATGTTTTTCCCTCTTGTTGGTTCCCTCACCACCTGCTGCAGACCCAGTCTAGCAGCTATGTCCTTTAGGACCTGACCAGCTCAATCAGTAGTATTGCTGCCAAACTCCTGTTGGTGGTGGACATGTAAATCGCTCACCCAGAGTACATTTTGTGCCCTTGCCACCCTCAGTGCTTCCTCCAAATGTTGCTGAGCATGGGGAAGTACCAATTTATCAGCTGAGGGAGGACAGTATGCGGTAATCAGCAGGGGATTTCCCTGTCCATGTTTAACCTGAAGCCAAGAGACTTCATGGGGTCCAAAGTAAATGTTGACAGCTCCCAGAGCAACTCCCTCCTGACTGTATACCATTGTGCCACCACCTCTGTTGGGTCTGTACTGCTGCTTTGACAGGACATATCAAGGGATGGTGATAGTGGGACGTTGTAAGGTATGATTCCGTGACT